AGCTGGATTTAAAAGTGATCTGGAAGCATGGCTTTAATCATTTACAAGATGCCATACCATCCGGTTGGAAATCAACCCAATGCATAAAGTGTCACTCTCAGTGCACCCTCGAGCAGATATATAAAAATCATCTCTTCATCGAAGCAGACGCTCGATCGGGACCAAGTGACAAGCCAGCGAAACACATGTTAGGCGACTTCCCGACAACAATCACACTCAATTGTTCTATATACAGGTAAGCAGAATACCTGAAACGAATGTACCAGGTACTTATATAAATTATTAGCGATTCATAACGCCCAACTTACCAGGTTGCGAGGAGTAATTGGCCATCAACCAGGCAGTGTGAAAAATTCGCATTTTATAGCATACTGTCAAAGGTCTCGTTTGGAGGAATACAACGATATATATCATCTTCAATCACCATGGTCCAACCATCTAAGCAAATCATCCCGAACGCAGCTATCTACATTCGAGATGATAGGTAAGTCGTATACTGATTATAAATCAAGAGATGCATCTGTGGTCATAAGCAATAATCGCCTAAGTCGAAATCGAAACTTGAATTCGATAAAAAGCGCTTTAAAGATTTGGGTTGTAATGTTAACCTTATTGGCAAACCAAAAGACTTTCATTTATAACTTTTTAAATAGAATAGGTAACGAGATGGGAGTTTCACGTAGACATGGAATAGTAGTTGCAGAAAACGATAGCATATATAACTCAATTCTTTCTTAAGTCGACTTAGGTGGTTATTGCTTACGACCACAGACATATAACAACAAACCTGTTGGTTCCTTTTAGTTATTTACATTTCCTTATGGTCTGATTATGCATACTTCGCATAACTTCGCACAACTTCGCATAAACTTCAAACTGTAATTTCGTATGTACTTTGTATCTAATTTGTATGTATTCCATTACCCAGAAAGTAGCAGAACTTTTAAAAACTTAGCGATGTGTTGAGTTTAGATTTTGCTTCACATTTTCTTAAGTTACATTTTTATTGCACTGGTACAAATGGTTGTGCGAAGTTATGCGAAGTATGTATAATCAGACCCTTACTCTATACTCGTATATATATATTTCTCAACAGCAACTCTACTCACTCCAAATACAGTCACGATGATGGCGAAGATAAACCATAGACCCAGAATAATAATTATTTCATGGTCAAAGGCCATCAACATTTTCACAAGAATTATAAAAGTTTTTTGATAATAATTGTGTTGGAAAATTTTTTAAAGTCGTCAACAACTATTATTTTGAGACTTATATTAGTCTTATTAGTCTTTTCATAATAATTATCAGCGAGATAAATATGTTTGTCTTGGAAGATTTTTATTTATTTAAATTTTTATGGAACACCCATATGTAATAACTTTTTAGCAAATATGGATATGTTTGAACGTTTTTGATTTTTCTTTTTCATATAAAAACCAATACATACATATTCGTATGTATGCCTCTGTTGTAAAAAGATGTAACTGATTTTTTATTTTAACATAAATGAATAAATATGTAGTAAAGGCTACTACTTTCCACTTATTCCGCTTAAATTTTCCGCGATTAAAAAATATATGGATTCCTTTCAACCACGAAATTCATTTGTTTACTTAAGTTGTTTTGCATCGAGCTTTTTCCAACTTAAGTTACTTTATCAGATATGTATACGCTAACGTATTATTAAATGTGTATAAATTTAACTATTGTCCGTTGTTTTATTACTAATGAAATAGTTTACACTTTATATAAAAAGAAAATATTTAAAACCCGTTTATTTATTATTTATTAAATGGTGTGAGAGCTTCTCAAACAATATTGATGAAATTTTTTTCGAGTTAAGTTGTAGCAAAGTAATGAATATATAACTCCGGAGACAAATTCTTTTGTTTGTTTAATGTTTATTATTTTTTCATAAAAGCCTAGCTCATTATATAACTAACACAATATAAATCCACATTTCAAATTTTGTGAAAAATTATAAAAAATCTGCAAAGATTCAGCTAGATTTTCAAGTTTTTATTCAGAATTTTTAGAATATTTTGAGTATGCAGTTTGATAGCCCATTAAATTCCAAGGTAATAATGTGCAAGTCTTAAGTGCTTTTGCGAGCGTGCTTGTTGCAATAGATCAGCTCTGCCTGATTTGGCTTTTAATATGCAATTTCAAAAATTGTAATAAGCCTTATAACCTCAAGTGTTTATGCAACCAGCCTTTAAACGCGGTATCCTTAGTCCAGGAGTAAATATCTTTTGAGGCACCTGCTGCAAAAAACAAAGCTTGTAAAGATTTATTAAGAAAATATTTGAAAATCAGTTCTACTTACAAGATTTAGTAACAAATTTGCCGAAAGTGTGATCGTATTTAAGTACTTACTCTACAAGCAAATGCTACGCTATAAATTGAATATATTGTGCATAGAGAAAGATTACTGGGAAGTTAAAAAACATAATTTTTACACAAAAAACGTCCAAACCTCAACAGGATACAAAAAACGTCCAAATAACGTTAAAAACGTGAACCTGGCAACGCTGCTTGTATGCAAAAATGCCTTGTGAGAAATATTACATGCTTGAGAATGCTTTTGGTGACATGCAATGCCTTTTGTGTAAAAAGTCATTTAAAAAAAATAGAATATGCTATTCAAAGACATTTTGATTCTTTTGATAAGGAAACATTTTGATGAAGAAGAAACACAACGACTTTTTAATGAAAAAAAGTTATTTTTTTCAAAGAATTAAAGAGTGGTTGTTAAAGGGAATATGTATGCAATTAAAAGACATTTTCAATCATTTTATAATGATATGGAAAATTTTGATAAACATGAATTTAAAATTTGTTATTTAAATTTTTAATATTTAACGTAAGCGAAATTTTTTTCAAAATGTTCTTTTTGATGCAGAAATATTCCTAGGGCATTTAGATGCATTTCTGCATCAAAAAGAAAATTTTGTCGCTTACGTTATTTTGGCGGTTAGGACTCGATATGTACGTAATGTATATTAAAATGTCATTTCGACAGAGCACATTTAAAATTCATTGTAAACTGGTCGTTAATATAAAAATCATTTTATACATACACTTGTGATCAGCCATCAACATTTTGATCGATTTTGGCTGTTTCTCTTTCGTTTATTTAATGTTTATTATTTTTCCATAAAAGCCAAGCTCATTAACAAACAAAATATAAATCCACAAAAATTGTGCAAAAATTATAAACAATCTGCAAATTTTCAGCTAGATTTTCAACTTTTTATTCAGAGTTTTTAGAATTTTTTTTTGAGTATGCAGTTTGATAGCCCAATAAATTTCAGGGCAATAATGTGCAAGTTTAAAGGGGTTAAATAATCGCGTTGATTTTTAATCATTTTTTTTTTCTTGTAGACATTTGGTAAGGGGCTCGGTTGTCGAAAATGCTAAACTACGTTCTGCTAAGAAGGAGCATAGCAATAGGTCCATTCAATATAGAAAAAATTGTTACGAATTGTTGCTAGTACTTGCAAGTTTTTACTGAGAATGCATTCAATAACCCAAAATATTTGCAAGAGGGAGCGAATTCGAGAGCGTAACAACCCGAGAGAGCTGCAAATTCTTGCAACTAAAAAATTTACTAGCAGGAATATTCAGGAGTCAAAAAGTAAGGGTATGTTTCAAATTCAAATGTAAACAAACTGTTTAAGAGGACGATTTGATGAAACATAATTAGTGAAATGAAAATATGGATGAAAAATTGAAATCTATTGTATATTCTTTTATTTTTATGACGATGGGAACTATTCCCAATTAAAAAGAAAATTGCGCGCCAAAACTTAACCGTCAGAAAGTGTCAAAATGGCTTAAGTTGCAAGTTTTTGCTAGTTTTGCGTTCAATAACTTTTTCTGAAAATTTTCTCTTGCTCTCAATTTTACACTCTATTTTTCTTTTACGCTATTTCAGTCTTTTTTGTGTTCATTACATTTTCAATGAAGTCTTAAAAAAGTCGCCTACTTTTTTCTGACGTTTTATGCTGCACAGCTTTTTTGATCCTTTTGCGAGTGTGCCTGCTGCAATAGATCGGCTCTTCCTGAATTGGCTTTTAATGTGCAATTGCAAACATTACAGCAAGCCTCGTAGCCTCAACTGTTTACACAACTAGCCTTTGAACACGGGATCCTTAGTCCAAGAATCCAGAAAAAATCTTTTGAAGCAGCTGCAGCAAAACACAAAGACTGTAAAGATTTATTAAGAAAATAATTCAAAATCAGTTCTACTTATAAGATTTAGTAACAAAGAAAAACTACTGGGAAGTTAAAAAACGTAATTTTTTACACAAAAAACGTCCTAACGTCAACAGGGTACAAAAAACGTCCAAATGACGTTAAAAACGGCAACCTGGCAACGCTGACTACATAGACTGCATCACTCCCCATACAAAAAAAAATCTGTACTATTTTTCCATTGGAATTATAAGATATATTATATTTTAAGACATCCACCAAAATATTTCGGAAAAATATTAAGATTTAAGTGAGCTGGACCGATTTGAAAATACCTCCAAACATTGAGTTTTTTATGAATAAAAATAGTTTCTTAAAGTTTTTTATTTTAAATCCCCTCAAATGACAAAACAGTTTAAGCTTAAAAAATTTGCATAAAAATATTAAAAAAAAATAAAAAAAATTTTTAACGGAATCGTAGTGATGAGACTTTTGATGCTGTTTTTTAACTTTTTTCAAAGATTGGTTTAAGAAAAACTTGAATAACTGCACCTAAACTCTTCCGATTTAGACTTAAGAGCCGTCATTGGAAAGGTATTTTCTCACCCTTTCCATTTCTTTGCTAATAAACTCATTCAAAGGATGAAAGGGAAAGGTAGGATGAACGAACGTCATTCAAAGTTGAATTAAGATGTGTTGGTATTTGAAAAAAAAAAACTGGGACACGAATGACTTTTCTTTGGACAGAAATACAGTGTGAAAATACCTTTCTACTGAGATCCCATAAGTCTAAGTCACTGATGGGCACCGCCTTGCCTGCGGGTAAAGCTCTTTTAAACTTTTTGTATAGGCGCGTATAAAGTAAAAGCTCTCTGCGCATCACTGGTGTAAATCATAATAGTTTCGGCCCAGTTATTCAAGTTTTTCGTAAATCAATCTTTGAAAAAAGTATAACACAGCATCAAAAATCTCATTCTTACGATTGCGTTGAAAAGATTTTTAAATATTTTTATGCAGGTTTTTTAAGCTTAATGACAAATTATCTGAGGGGACTCTTTTCAAAAAGTTCTTTAAGAAACTATTTTTATTCATAAAAAACTCCATTTTTGGAGGTATTTTCAAATCGGTCCAGCTCGCTTAAATCTTAATATTTTTCCGAAATATTTTGGTGGACGTCTTAAAATATAACAAGTTTTGTAATCCCGGCGGAAAACCCGCAACTTTTTTTGGTGATGTAATCTAATGTTCATATGTATGTGTTAAATACATGTATTTATATGTTTT